CTCCCACCCCCACCCGCTCGCAACAGTTCAACGGCGGACCGAGTCGAACACAGCGAGAACAGGGGACGAAAATAGCCGATGGAGAAGATCGCATATATAAACGAACGGTTACAGACAGAACACTGCCACTTCACAAGCACTGATGATGTCAACTCGGCTGGTGATGAAACTTTTGCAAACAAATTGCCAAGCTCGGCGAACAGGCAAAATGGAACTACTCAGACTCTTCCAATTCTTTGTATAATAACTTTGCTCATAGCGTAGAACTTAGATTTTAAAAGGATAGGATATGGAAAACACACCATTGATAACAATAATAAACTAATGTAATTTCTACTAAAAACATCTAAATATGTGTGTTTTGCTTATGGCTAGCGTGCGCTTTCTGACTCAATTGAACCAGTTCAGTGAACTCGGAAAAAATGAAACCATGAATGTTTTGCAGATGCGGTGATCAATGTTCACTAATTGAGCTAGGATTATTTTCAACATTGTCCTAGAATCACGGTTATTGAGTCGGAAACATTGATGCTGGGAGATGGTTACCATGGCTTATGATTGGCATGTAGTGAGTACATCATGCAGAGCACGTCAACCAGTGCAGAACCATTGAATCCGTCAGCATCAGTAGTTTATCTTGTTCTATAAGGTTGCGAACGACGAACCTTTGGAAGGTTGGTATGAATAGATTTCGGTTGATTTAGCTTTTATTTTCCTCCCGAGATATGGTTCGAGTGTGTCTGATGCACCTGGGCATTTCCCTTGATATAAATTGGGAAATAAAATTAGAGAAATCGAAGTAGGTGCCAAACGTTCGCATATACATTTATGAAATAGCGCCAAATCAATCAATCGTGATCCCGGGACATTAATATCATCAGTTAAGTGGCTTCCAGCAGCTTGATGAACACCCAAGATCTTTTCCAGTTGTACACCTTGCAGTTGTTTCATTTTTGGAGTTTTGTGAACTTCTCGCCCGTTCCAATTCACACCAAATTTTCCGGTTATTTGTCACACTGATGAGAATCACCGAAAGAGCCCATTTTTGTTCATAAAATACCCCATGATTGTGTAAAACTAAAAGAAGACCGTATACAAACCAGCACTGGATTTATAGCTGATTTACCCCGAGGTTTTTTGGAGAAATTGACAAATGATTGACCTAAGGACATTGATTTTTTTCTGAGTAACGCAGTATGAGTGTCAGTAATCTATTTATTCTTTTTGTTTGTTTTTAGCCAACCCTTTATGATTTTCTGGTGGGTCTGTTGAACCTATTTGAGTATGTGTCCCCGGTCTTCTGTGCAGTGATTGCATGTGCATGCTCCTTTTGGTTCCGGTCCTATTTGTCACGGTTATGTCAGATAGAAGTGTTGTACTTGTCGTGTAGATACGGTAGGTGCGGACGCGAGCAATGAATAAGTTAAGCCTTACCGATCTGCTTTTTATAGCTTAACGCTGTTCGAGGTTTCATCACAAACGGCCCGTTTGGAATATGTTTAATCTTGAGTTGTGCTTTGTTGGAAATATCAGAGGGTAGTTTATTTTTTACCATTCATCTCTCTTCTTACGTGAGTTGGAAGTCAGTTTAAATCAAATGTAGTGATTCAAAGAAGAAGTATACCTAAAGCCAAAAACTGAAGTAGGTGTACAAAGATAGACAGGATAATTCAAATAATAAACGGTTGATTTTACTTAATTGTGCTCCGGTGGAGACCTTTGTAGGGACGTTTGGGGACTGCGACTACTAATATGATTCTGATCTGGAACAAATCAACAAAACTGTAGCTTACGATCTTACTCCAGTGAATCCTATCCGCCCAATTGAGTTTGAAGGATGCCTGGAAAAATCTGGGGTTTGAAGGTTTGCCGAGATTACTTTTGTCATCACGTTGTGCACCTGAACGGACCTGGTCACATTTCTAGCACTCAACTAGTCGAATCATCCGCTAATTCCCTGAAACGGATGAGATTGGCGCGGCATGGTTTTGTTGTTTAATCGCTTGAATCTCGTTCTCAAAGAACAACTTCCCCTGTAAATACTTCACAAATGAGACAGACCTTACACAGGCTTGTCAGTTTCATAGGGATATTTTTTTGGTGTACAAAGTTAAATTCCTAATTGTAAAATCTACTTGGAATTTTGTGCAAATGAGGCATCAAAATAGGGCTAGGTTCTGATAAGTCTTAAGGTGTAAGTTTGGGTATGCACTCGCCAGGGAATTACTACTCACTTTGTGCTTCTAACAAAACAGTAGGCTTTTTGGAGATTCAGAACCATCAACTCATGGTTAGTGAGACCAGGGTCATAACTGGGATGATGAATGCATTGTATCGGACTCACTTGGAAACTATCCTATTATCCTAACGATGTTTAGCATCATATCTATGTAATGTGACAAAGCACACCTTCTCCGTAACAAAATTGAATAGAGAAGCCAAAAGCAGGTTTGTACAATGTATCCAGCTGCATCTGTACACGTGCATAGAGCAATCTATTTGATCATAAATAAGTGGTCAGAAATAAGAGAATCATTGACATAGAAAGATTGCGGCTAAAGTCACTCATCAAACACATTTGTTACGATGGTGGCGCTAGAGTAATAAGCCATTCATGATGTTTACATAGCTAGGGATGGTCAATTGGAATGGCTAGTGCCTCGACGTATTTCGAACACTGTTACTACTTCTGTTGTAGAGACTTATAAACGCGTATTCCAGCATGTCACTTCATTTCGACCAGGTGTTGTGTGATAGATGAACTGAGTTTCCCACGGGTGACGTCATACTTCCAAAGCTTCCACGAATTGTTTTCTGGCGATTGACCGGCATGTGCTCGGCTGCTCGATAAAGCACTTGTCTCTCCGTTCTGCTAATGTGGATAGCCAAGAATCCACACTTGAATTGGTAGATACAACTATATTTAGCGTGGAGAGACGGCAATTTTTCATCGAGGGAGTTGACAACTGGAAGCTTGTGAAAACAATGATGGGTTCCGTAGATGCACCCAACGGCCGAATTAAAGCGCTTGGTAATCAGCCAACTGATATAGTCATCCTTGAAGGGCATTTGTAGGAACACTATCGTCTCATCTGCAGTCTTTGCCTTGTACAATTGCAAATCTATCGAACACTGTCTAATTCCCGCCGGCCTACCTGGCTAACAGTTGTGTTTCTGGTGATCACAAGGCCCATTGCAGGCGCTGTTTTACCAAAATATGTGTCAAAACTGTTCCTCATGGGAGGCTGAACTTCATTTCAAAATAGGTTTCAAAACTGAAAGATATGATTACTATGGCCTGGTTGAGGGGCCATGGTGATCAAGTTTTAAGTGTGCGATGGAAATTTCCTGCAAACAAAACCGGATTCAGCCGCAACTAAACATACGTTTTCAGTGGCAATGAACAATAGTGAGTATTTTATGAAGTGGTTAGCAGTTCATCCTTCTCCCGTAGCATGATGTAATCGATTCCTTGCGAGTTGGCACAGATAGATGAGTTAATTTGTGATAAACCAAAAGGGAAACCATTAGCCAATTTACTCTCTACATTGATAGTATTTACAACTGTTATTAGGTGTTATACTAACCGTGAAACACAGAACTCAGTAAACATGACCAGGATGACGCGGGCCAAACTGTAACACATTGAGTGATATGAAACAATTCGTGAATTTCTAATCTACGATGCCGACACGCAGCATTTAGGTAGTCTTTATGCGACTCAATACTATAACTCTGTCTGATCTTTGTGGGTGTGGTGTTACTAATCACAAAACATCTAGCCTATTTCCTAAATCTCACCAGATAAATTGTAAGATAAAATTGAACCACAGGGCTCATTCGTAAGTAGACTGTGCCTTGCATCCTAGCTGAGAGATTTGTGAAGAACGTATACTTTCGGAGTGAATTATGGATTGCCGTTGTTGTGTCCGTATCCCGATTGATCACTATGTACACACAACAAGATGTCACACGATGACACAAGGAACACAGGTACCTCAACGGCCACACTAATCGTCTAGCCCGACGAGTACGATCGCAGCACAGATTGGATGCCACTAGCACAAGTAGCCTTTTCCCAGCTACGTAAGCAAGAACACAGTTAGTGCACAGCGAACATGTACTTAACACACAGGAAGCAAGTCAGTTTACTAAGTTTTCTCTGACGCTTATGTGACTCAAAACAGCATCGATTAATGCCAGAAAAAGATTGTGCCAATCAAGTACACAGTTAGCAAAGTGTAATCGGTCATAGGTCACGGATCAGACGGACGGAATGAATGTTTCCGTATGACGCAATATCATTGATTAATCTCCCCCAGATCAGTATTGCTTCGAGATGCCCCTAATTGAAAATACTCAAAAAATAGGCAGTTTTAGGTAAAAATAGTCTTTTTACCTAACAGTCGTTCACGCATTTCTGTAGGTGGTAACCACCATCAGTGTGCTCTCAGAGGAGTTTTCTTCCAACATTCAGGTTGTTCGTATTATCTGATTAATATATATATATATATGTATATAAGATTTGGGTTTGATTTACCTGTGTTGTTTGAATATTTTCCATTGAATTGGAATGCAGCCACCTTCTCATTGCACACAGAATATTACGTCATGAAAGGGAAGCGATTACGTGTCGAACATTCATGATGACTGAAACAAACAGTTTGCAGATCCTTAAGCCTGGTCTAGGCTGGTTAGCTCTTTCATGCCTTAGGAACCTTGTTGATCAAAGATTGATGAGCTGACTGATTACCGTTCCGTGAACCCGGGTTGCCGATGACCCACCCTATTCGTTTCCCCCTTCACCCTTCTCCCAATCTAGGGATTGTTCTACCGCTATATCGCAGAAAATACCTATCTGCTCCCTTCACTCGTAGATTCATTAAAATTGATTTGCCCGGTAACGGCTTAAAAATTAATCATCGAAAATGTACTTTTGAATAGGTTACGTGTTTTGTACCTCTTTATATTGGTATAAAATTGCATAAGCCATATGGGATGATCGAACTAGTGCAACTTGATTGTGGTAGATGTTTAGCGGAACGCTTGGACTGTTGAAAAGAAGTACTAATATTACAATCACATATACCGTTTCATGCATGCTAATGCTGTTTGTGAATAAACCATTGGAATTCTGATAAGGAACAATGGTGATGGCACTGTGCAATGCCTGGTTCGCACGTTTGCCATTTCAGTCGTGGAATTGTGAATGAACTTTATCCGCCTATTACAAACAGTCGCCTTTCGTTTTCCATTTTTCTGCATGTATTAAGACGAACTTACCTCTTTTTTTACGGTCTTTCTGATAACCGTAGTACGGTCTTGAGCCAGAGCAGACAAAATCCGGCAGAGAGAAAGGACTTCTGTTGCCTCGTGGACCGCGTATTACGCCCACACACTCGGGCGCACGGTCCTGTGCACAAAGTGGACACATGGATATGACAGATGATCGCCAAAAACTGTCCCAACAGCAACAGCAACAACAAAAGGCAGCCCAACAGCATCAATTGATGTCTTCGCAATTTGAGCAGCTGCCCGCCGGGGTCCCCCATTCTTACCACACACATATGCGTGTTCCAATGCACGACTATTCTGTGGATCACACCAAAACGAATTCAACAACCCAACCCAGATTTGGATATCAGATGCAATCACGGTGAGATTTACGCTTCCACTGTTAGTGTTACAGTTGTACAGTGATTTTGTAATACATAGCTGATCATTATTCACAATACCAGGTAGTTATTGGTTAAACTAGAATATTCAAATAAACTCTAAGACTGTATGATTAATCCTGGCTTCAATTTTTGTGGAGCGGCTAGCGTGATTTCTTTTAAATTTACAACTGTAAATATCGGGCAAAGTCAAAGTGCTACTGACCACTGAATAGCCAGTGTACAGCTATTTCATCTCGGATAGAGATTATCATCAATGTAATTCACGAGAACTGGAACTTATGCAAAACGGGTTTTTTTATGTCGATGCACTCATTACTACTTGTGGTTTTCAAATAGCAGGTTCGAAACGTCTAAGTAAAAGTGCAAAATTACCTCTTTATTTTTCTACAAGTTCATTTTCCATACACCAATGCACGTTGGGGCTAATTATGACATAATCGTATCTGTAAAACCTAGGCATTAATGAGAAATGTAGCTACTTCGTTGCTATGCTATAAGCTAAAAATAGTTCAAATTTCTGATAAAAGGAAACGGAGATAATTTTATAGGTGAATTTCGCAGCTTTTAGTTAATTGTTTGCTTTCCTCTTGGTTTGTAAAATCATTTTTTTTCAGACTGTCTACAGCGGAAGACATTCTGATTAGTACGTTCTGTTGCATTTTTATCTGCGTTGGGCGATAAATTGCTATTTCCTCTGTTTTATACTTGCTTATTTGATCGTATTGACATCCGGATCGCATTCGAGAATAAGCGCTTATTTTCTGGCAATATTTTTAATCTAAGAACAATACTTGTGTTTTGGGGTAGTGTTTTTTGGAAAAGTCCGTAACTTCACCTCCTATCGCACAAAGTGCACTGTTCAGTTATGCGAGTCGGAATGAAAGTGAGACATGACGTTAGTCGGATACTTTGCCTTCATGCAGAATTCCAAGTTCTTTTACAAGCGGAAAATATTCTTCCTCTGCACAAATACGATTATTTGGTTTTCTCACGGAGAAATCACGACCTCGAGCGCGGTGAACGCCAATCTGCAGAATCCTAGTTTATTGCAATACAGATGCGGACTCTTTCCATCTGATAACTAGGACCACTTCCGAAATCTCACGCCATCATTTGACTTATGTATATTTCAATCCAAAATGTGCAGTTTGATCTCCTTTTTTCATTTATTTTCCTGAGTACGATTGTTATTGGGGCCGTTGATGTTATAATCACTAAGGAATATTAGACATTCCACTCAATTATTTCCAATCTTATTAACTTGCAAACTGATCAGATGTAATCGTGTAAATTAGAACTAAATTGCGTGTATAAATTCCCCTTACTACTAGTGTACCCCTAGCTATCTTCAATTATTTGGTAAACCTCGGATCAATACAAAAGATCTCTGGACATTTAATACGACTTCTGTTCTTGTATTTCCGGATACAAGTTAAATCCAAGTATGACGACAACGGTAATCTAATGTTTCATCGAACAATAGGTTCAGAGAACCAAAAAAGGAAAATACATCAAAATACCATACAATCAGGCTGGAACTCAGTCAATTTCGGCCTATCAAACAGTTGGGGAGACGGCAGTAACTGGTATTTGCTATCGGCTTAGCTTATTCGTCTGCCAGTTCTTTTAGGAAAATCAAAAAGAACACGTCTATTGTCTAGGGTTATTCTATCTTGTTGGTTTCAGACACGACCACAGGAGGAAAACAAGCTTCGCGATTAAGAAGGTTTGACACTTATAAACCACTAGAAAAAAAATTTGAACCGGCATACCGCCACATGATTATACGGCTTTATTAAGGGGTTGATTCTGATGCTACGTATGCTTTGTGGGTATCGCTTTCAGGAGAACCGTTTTCAGAACGTGAACTTTCCTCGTCAGGGTGTAGGCTTACTCATAAATTCTAGAATTTTCACAAACGGATAGTGGTTTAGTAGTATAATGTGGTAACTTTTTTGTAAATTAAAACAAACGGTTTGATGATTGATGTAACGTTCCTCCTACGATCCAAGTTCGGCCAATGCAGGCGATGTGATCGAATAAGCAGCGCCTCATTTTCTACCGAACGCTTACTGTTGAGACTATGTGGCAGTGAATCGAAAGACGAAAAAGGCTCACAGCGTGTCCTATCACGACGGCTTTTGCATTAGGTGATAGCGGGTCCTTGAAGTAGTACTTTATGCATGATATAATTGAGGGAAATACATATCAGATATATATTCGAATCTATGTGTATCACAAGACGGGTTGGGGGTAAAAATATAAATATTCAATAAACAACCAAGATGGGTAACAACTGAGCAGAAATTGATGACCCCTGACAGGAGAAACCGGGTGATTGACGATGAAAGCGTAAACAGTGTCACTCGTAATTTATCAATAGCTCGTGATCTTTTCTCAAAGTTAACGAAACTAAGCATTTGAAGGGAAATTCATAGAACGAAAAACAATAAAATAGTAGATTCATCGAAGTCCTCAAAGACCGGTGCATGGGGTCCATTTTATCTAGAATTACTTGTAGTAAAAAGCTACTTAAATATCTTCATTTTACACTTCCAGGGTTCCATTTTATACGGAAGCTTCTGAACATATCGTTTTCTCAAGGAAAAATTGATTCCTTTGGTTAAAACATTGCCGGTAATGATACAATAATTGAAAGCCATAATCCCAAGTTCTAGCTTCAATGAATGTCTGCCAAATCAAGAGATCGGATAGAATTACCTTAGCCTACAACCAAGAAAAGGTACTTATAGTATGACAAGAGTCACTTGACTGATGATGCTCGCTATAATGTTCTGTTATTTTGGTCCATCAAGCTTACTATTTTACGAATCTCGATGGGTCTTTTGATGCAGTAGACAATCTAATCAACCGAAAAGTAAAATTCAGGCCTAAGTATTTTGCTAATAATGCTAATATTCGCTTGCATTTTGGTTCCCCAGAAACTTCGGTGTACGAACAAAGACTTGCATAAATTCACTCATCCCGTTTACGTGCACATTGTTTTCAAATCCTGCAAGTAAAATTTTGAGTAGATTTTGAGTTTCCCAATTCCTATAGCCCAAATAGCCTTTGTATGGCTACTGCTTCTTCCGGAATGTTGATTGCACACTTTTATACTGAATAAATTAAATAGGTAGTACAAATGTTTATTTGTTTAATCTATGGATTGATTTGAAGCTGAAAACGAGTAGCGGTTCGAATCTTTCACAATCTGACTGTTTGGGTGCAACCGACATACTGATGTGGGGTAAAATGAATATACTCGGAGGCATTCATGCTTGATGTTTGGTAACTCAAAATTATGGATTACTTATATTCTATGCACTTCTCGTTGCCTTCATTGACAGTCCGATGGGACCAGATTCTTCCGTGCGTTCACATATGGTAATGCGTCCTATCCCCGGTTACCCCCCTGCCGGTCTGACGGAACCGCTCAGTATTGTTACCAGCAGTCGGGAAAGTGAACGCAAGAGATCCATTTTTGGAACCCTGGGCCGAATGTTTAAAAAACCGTCAACTACTGCCTCAGAGGAAACATACGGACCCAAGAGTGATGGCACCGGGACTGGTCAGACTGCACAACCGGTCACCACAGTCGCATGGAGTCATCAGTATCCAACTTCTCTTCCAATGGAATCATACTTTCATCCGCATTTACATGCACACAACCCGTACTACATGCATCCGTTGTACGCTTATCAACACAATCATAAACTAATAAATCCACACACGCGAATGACATACCCGGGCAAATACCCCATCCCACCCAATGCTTGGCCAACGGAAGTCCTGTCCGGATACGGATCAATGGATCACTTTCCGCATCATGTGCATCCGATGGGACAGCATCTGCAAGATGGACCGTCTCGTTATAGTCCACGCCCAGTCGGTCAGCACCAGCCAACACAGTCCACAAGACCGGGATCTGGTCGAATGACTGGACAATTGCCGGGTGCTTGTTTGTCCAACGCTAGTCGAACCGTGGACATTACTTCTCAGTCGCACCCTGGAATCATGGGCACGGAAAGAACAACAGGTAGGCAAAATGAGTGGTGGAGGGGGCACGGGAGAACGAGGAAGATGTGAGCACTTGTTGATTAAGGAGTCCTAGTAAATTGACCACTCACTGTCACTTTCACTGCATTATTATCCGAGTATCACGGCAGTTGCTAACACTGAAAATGGTATCAAATTAGTTATTTTTCTTGATGAATTGGAATTATATTGGTCAGCTTGACACGAGTCTACTTTTAGTTTTTATTAGAACTAAATTTATGTTTGCTTTTAGTTAATCCCATTTGGCCTCGAGAATAACTTTTATAGGCAATACAGCGCCTCCGTTGATCACTGCTTAGTTTCGGGCTTCAAGGTGACTG